CCTCTTCATTTAGTTGCTAAAGAGTGAAGTTTAGTAAAAAGACTTTGGTGGCTGGGCACTGACTTCTCCCTCCCAATTGTTCTATGACAAATAATGAGTCACCGTCACTGGCTCTGGCCCCCCTTCCCTCATGCAACAACTATGCAGTACCTCAGGTAAACAAACTCTTCTGAGGGGATTTAGGGAAATTAGCACTTATCTATAGTAAAGGCAGCCTGCTTGGCAGATTAATTTTTGTAAATTCCAGACATTCTTTTATTATTTTTCTGAGAAGTTCTTTATAAACAAGAATGAGAAAGGTGCTTTTGTCTTAATATTGAATAATAAGCCATTGATGCTGGCACTATCAATTAAAATATTTGAGTAGTTAATAAATTAACAATTGCTACAATTTGTAGGCTATCTAAAAATGCTGAGTGCCCTACAAATCTACAATTGTCAGGTAATTTTTTTATCCCTATTTTATAGATGAGGAAATTGAGATTCAGACTGATAATTTGGTAAAGTTAACACACCCAAATATATGATGAGAAGGTAAATTTGAATCAAGCATACTGACTCCAGAGTTACTGCTGTTCCGGCCATGAAAAACCTGTGCCAGATGTTGTGCTTCAGGGTGAAGAGGAAGCAGTAAAGCACAGGTCCCTGTCAGCTCACAGTAGATAGAAAGGGTGATGAGCCATGCATACAAGTAACGATAGTTTAAAGAAAATATTGTTAGTACCATAACTGCACCAGGGGAGTATCAGCAACAGCTTTATGGAGAAAGTGTCATTTAAAGTGGATCTTGAGGAACTTAGATGGGCAGGCTGGGGGCAGATGTAGACAGAGCCATGAATTCCAGGTATAGCTCATTGGACTAATGTAGACCCTGGGTAGCCAGTAATGATTTTTTAAAATTTATTTTATTTTATTTTATTTTTATTTTTAAAGATTTTATTTATTTATTCATGAGACACACACACACACACACACACAGAGAGAGAGAGCGGCAGAGACACAGGCAGAAGGAGAAGCAGGCCCCATGCAGGGAGCCCGATGTGGGACTCTTCCCAAGTCTCCAGGATCAGGCCTTGGGCTAAAGGCAGAGCTAAACAGCTGAGCCACCCAGGCTGCCCTGTTTATTTTATTTTTTTAAATATTTTATTTATTTGAGAGAGAGAGCACATGCAAGTGAGCACAAGTGGGGAGGGGCAGAGGGAGAAGCAGATTCCCCACTGAGCAGGGAGCCCAATGCTGGGCTCCATCCCAGGACTCTGGGATTATGACCTGAGTGGAAGGCAGATGCTTAATCGACTGAGCCACCCAGGTTCCCCGATTTTTTTTTTTTTAATCAGAAGTGATAAAATCATGATATGAGTAGAGAGGTTGGCAGTGAGAGTGCCTATCTGGAGACCATTAAGTAGGCAGGTAGAGCTACAGAAGATCTGAAGTAGCTGTGACCATGGGTATAGAGAAGGTTCTATACCTCCATAGTTGAGAGAGATTTGCAGATTCTAGGCAAAATCTGCTTTACTGAGTAGATGTAAGGAATACCTTTAAGGGAAGATGGGAAAAGAGAAAGCACACGAGACAAGAATTTTCAGCTCTGGCATAGGAGTGACTATATATATGCCTTAAATTTCATACATTTAGCCCAACTTCAGTGATTGGGTCTTAATTTTTAATTCGTCTGAACTGTCTGTGTTATATAATGTTGATTCAGGAAAATTAGGGTGACTATGGAGACTAGGGAGAATGGTTGATAGGTTTAGTATTTCCAGGGGTTATTTGTATTATAGAAATTCTCCAATAAATAATCTGTGTAGTAATAAGGTACTATCCATTCCTAGAGGCTCTTTCTGTCTTCTCTCTCATCCTGCTTTTTGAGTAGTAAAATACATAGAATCATTCTTTAGTTGTGCACACACATTCTTCTGCCCACTTATCCCAGCCAAATCTCCTATTTTCCATACTGAAAGGGTACAAAACATTTGCTTTAGTTTCTTCCATCATAAAAGAATACTCTAAAGCTCTTTTTAAATTGTATATCATGTGCTGGATGATGACAATGAGAGGAAATGAAAAGAGCATCTTCATGAATGTTGCTATTAACAAGGTTCCAGACCTGATTGTTTATGTAATTTCTTCAATTTGTCATTCAGCCATAATGAGTTTCTAGAAAAAAATGAGGTTGCATTCAGAGTCATTTTCATGGGGGAATGCTGTTAATGGAGGAAATTTGTGTCTTAACAGTGATGTAGTAATGTAACTGTCAACAATTTACTAAATAATGAGGTGTGTCTGGCATGTTGTTTTTGTAGCTCTTGTATGGGCATTGTTAGGGGAAAAAATAATGCTCCTCTGATGTGTTGTGCCTCTTTGCTTTGAGACTGACTTCACACATAGATATATATTTTCTGTTGAATTCTCCCCATCCTTGGCACTTTGAGGGCTTTCTGGTTATTTTCATTTTGCAGATGAGGAAACCGAGGTGTTATAGGGAAGTTAAGACTCTCTCCTGAGGTCACACATCATTAGGTCAGTGGTGGGGCCCAGAGGAGAACTCAGCTGTCTGATTCCAGAGCTTGTCAAATGAGGCGATGAAGAGGAAGGAGCAAAGACCTGAGCTGACATCAAGAGTTTGACGCTTAACTGACCAAGCCATCCAGGTGTCCTGACACAAGTGACATTTAAAAAGAAGCCATTTCATCCTATTCCCAGTTTGAGAACTTTCCCTAGCACCTTCTTACCCACTCGCCTGAGTTCTTCAGCCTGGCTCTTAGGACTCCAAACTTGTCTCTCTTCCTGTCCAGTTTGGTTTCCCCCAATGTGTGGATCCTCACTTCTGAGACACATGATGAGGTGTCCTCTCTATGCCTTCTCATGTCTTGGTTTTTCTACCTCTGTGCTGTGCTCTCTCTTCACCTAATGGAATCCTTCAAAGCCCAGGGAATGTCAGTCTCACCCACACACTCTTAGTACTGCTAATTCTCCTCTGTCTGCTTCAGTGATTTCTCCTTGATCTTTATAACTTTGGCACATATTGTCAGCATTGTGTATTTTGGCACTTAATAATTTGGACAATGTAAAGTGGCAAAACAAAGAAATCTGAATTTATAGTAGTTTTAGTTTTACAAAATACCTGAGTAGGATATTTAGTAGACAAATCGGGAATTTGTGAATTTTGTTGCTTATTAAAGAATAATTCTCTTCCCAAGTGGAGATACACACACGTAACATTGGTTTTAAGAGAAATCTCTAGCTACTAAGTGTATGAAACCTACCTTATATGTCTCATTCTCCTTTAACTTAGGAATATTAAATGCTGGTATTGATTTTTGCCACACTTTGAGTATTGCTATGATTTTTAGAGAGTCCATTAGAGTAATTAAAGAATTTCCCTGAGACATGAGTTGTTATTGACATTGCCAAAGGGCTCTTCTCATAGTAATCCTTGTCATTTCAGACCTGATTAGTCATTTTGTACAGCACAGATACCCTATTTAAACATAACAGGATCATGAATGGATTTGTTCCTGTTGTCCCAGAATTTCAGCTCATCTCAAAGTGGAGGTCAAGGGCATTAAATACTCCATATTCTAAGGATGTTACCAGCAGCTCTAGGGGAGGGGTTACCTCCTCCTCCTCCTCCTCCTCCTCCTCCTCCTCTTCCTCCTTCTCCTCCTCCTCCTCCTTCTTCTTCTTTTAAAGATTTTATTTATTTATGAGAGACAGAGACAGAGAGGCAGAGACACAGGCAGAGGGAGAAGCAGACTCCATGCAGGGAGCCTGATGTAGGACTCGATCCTCGGTCTCCAGGATCACGCTCTGGGCTGAAGGTGGTGATAAGCCACCCTGACTGCTCAAGGGAGGAGTTATCTTCCTACCTTGAGAACCTGTCCTACCACCATCAACCTCCACTGGACTGTTAGCTGGCTAAGTGGACTTTCAGCTGAGAAATGCAATGCCTGTGTCCTCTTTTTGGTTACATGTGCAATTCCTTTCTTTCCCTCACCCTCGATATATCGACTCTCAAGGCCAGCTCCCAAGTACTCTACTTTGTCCCTGGTCGTTTTCATATATTGAATGGAGATTGGAGTGAGGGGGGATGTGTGAAAGTTAGGCTAACTGTGGTATTTCTTAGCAAGTCTTCAGGAAGCATGAGCCATGCCTATTCATTAGATGCTCTCTGGGAGACTGGGTTTGCCAACCTTGTCTACAAATTAGAGTCATCCAAGGAGCTGATGCCCAGGTTGCACCCTAAACCAGTTAAATCTCTTTGTGTGGGACTCTGGCATCAGTGGCTTTGAAAACTCTGCGGTTGATTCCAATAAGCAGCCAAGATTGAGAACCATGGCTGTAAAATGTAGGGAGATGGTGTGTGTGGGGGGGAATTAGGGAGTCCTTCGGGTCTTTTATTCCCCAGGTTTGAATCTTAGATGAACTTTTTTTTAAGATTTTATTTTTAAGTAATCTCTATACCCAATGCAGGGCTTGAACCCACAACCTGAGATCAAGAGTCTCATGCTCCACCAACTAAGCCAGCCAGGTGCCCCCGAAATTCTTTGAAAATAAAATATCTCACTCAGTATCTTGTTAAATAAACAGATAAAAATAAAATAAAGGTTGAAGTTTAATTCATTTTGTTATTCAGCTGAATACAGTATTTACCTTTATGTGAAAGATCAAGAATATACTTGAACTTTTTCTGAATGGTAAAACTTATAGTGAAGTGAAAAAAAGAATAATATGTTCTATTGGCCATTTTGAAAGCTGCATTTTATTTTTATACAGTAAATGAGTTTCATCCCAGCAAGAGAATCTGACTAAATACTAGGATGGGGTAATAGCCACCTGAATTGCCAGGAGGCACATCCTAACGGTCTTATTCTAGCAAGTTTACTCCATGATCCTATTTTGACAGTCTGTCCTAAGAATTCAGCTATTTCAGTGGGACCGTATGTACTTCTTAAAGGCACCATTTCATGAGCTTTCTCATTTCCTTGGCTTTCTCACAGCTCCAGAGATGGCTGCCCAATGCGTTACGAAGGTGGAGCTGAATGTTTCCTGTGACAATCTTTTGGATATGGATGTAGGGTCAAAGTCGGACCCTTTATGTGTGTTATTTTTGAATACAAGTGGTCAACAGTGGTATGAGGTAATGTTAAATACTGTAGGTGAAAAGCAGTCTGAATTGCTCTTTTGATAATGTGAAGCACTTGTTAAAACTGTTAAAAAATAATGAAAACATTTCATCTGTTAATGCAGTTTTTTGGGGGCATGTTTGTCTTCCTTGACTGTGGAATTTTTCATCTACATATAGAAACTTTCTTTAGCTGTTATGCTTATATATAGTTTCCTGTAGTACATAAAGATGCTAAAATGTAAATGCACTTTGACCTGAATAAATTTTTTGTTTTGGGGGTGAGTATAGGTTGATCGCACAGAAAGGATTAAGAATTGCTTGAATCCCACATTTTCCAAGACATTTATTATTGACTACTACTTCGAAGTGGTTCAGAAATTGAAATTTGGGATTTATGACATTGACAACAAAACCGTAGCGCTGAGTGATGATGACTTCTTAGGAGAATTTGAATGTACCCTTGGACAAGTGAGTATAACTAGCTACTGCAGTATATTGTATCTAAATTTTAACTAGAGAATTGGGTGATTTTTTATAAGTGCTCATTAATTTTTAGAGTTGAAAAGTATGTAATCACTTTAAAGACCTGAATCATATATTAGTATGTTTGGTTTGAACATTATAGAATTTATCTTATTTTTCACAAGGGCAAGGACGTATTTTTGGCAAAGCTCATTAATTCTTTTGAGTTAGGAGTGTTTCATTTGACATTTCAATAAGTAATACTATTGTTCTAGCTGCTTTGTGTACTATTTACAGATTTTAGTACAATTTTGTTCTTTTAAAAAAAATTTTTTTTAAATTTTATTTACTATTTATTTGAGAGAGAGAGAGAGAGAGAGAGAGCACAGAGAGTGACAGAGAGACAGAGGGAAGGGAGAGGGTCAAGCAGACTGATGCCAGGCTCAGTCTCAGGATGCTGAGGTCATGACCTGAGCCAAAATCAAGAGTCAGAGGCTTACCTGACTGAACCACCCAAGCACCCCTACAATTTTGTTCTTATGTTTAAGTAATAAATGCTTTCAAAGTAACAGTAGCTTCTCTGATATTCTAACTAACGTGACTGGTCCCTCTAGATCCCTGATGGCCCAGCACTGCCCCTTTACCTGGCTTGCTCTTCCTCAACCTCAGATACCTCAGTGTAAGCCTTCCTCCCCAGTAAGCCTCCTCTGACTCCCTTGAGTAGTTTGGAGAACCACCCTGTGCTCACCATGGTAGTCTCTACTGTTTCTACCTTCGCATCCAAGGTCCATGCATAGTTGCTTAATTATCTGTTTTTCCTATATGGCAGATTTGATCAGGGGAGAGTTGTATCTGTAGGTTTACCATTTTGCTCCTTTCTCAGAGTCTGACTTCCAAAGAGAAATCGTAGAGCACCTGGGTGGCTCAGACTCCTAATTGCAGCTTAGGTTGTGGTCTCAGGGTCCTGAGGTCCTGCTCAGTCGGGAGTCTGCTTGTCCCTCTCCCTCCGCTCCTTTCCCCCCCTCACCCCTCCTACCCCCCTGGCTCATATGTGCTCTCTCTCTCAAATAAATACATAAACAAAATCTTAAAAAAAAAATCAAGAGAGGTCATGACCATTTGTAATAGAGCTGGGAAGGCCTCAGGAGGAGTCCTTGTTTTTTCAGTGGGTGACACTTCTTGCTGAGATTTGTTTACTTTTCAGTGAATTGTTTGGGGTATTTCCTATGTCTCAAGGACAATATGAAGCTGAAGCTGATCAGTTTTCTAAAACTTTGATGCATCTATCTTTAAAAAAAATAAAATGATATTTTGTGGGGGTTATATATTCAAGTTCTGTGTCAGTTGAACAATTGAATCCCATTTATTGAGTGTTCTCAGGCCCACCTCTTCCCTACAGGGTTTTTTAGCTCAGTGATTGGTATATATGAAGAGAACTTGTCCCTCTTTGTCCATTACAGGGAAGAAGTTGAACTTTGAAGTAGTTGATAAAGAAACTAGAGGTTGGGGAGATAATATCTGCCAGGACTGGCTCCCTGGAAATCTTTTCCAGTGGGTTTTATTTATTTATTTATTTAATTTATTTTTTAAAAGATTATTTATTCATGAGAGACAGAGAGAGAGGCAGAGACATAGGCAGAGGAAGAAGCAGGCTCCTTGGGGAGCCCGATGCGGGACTTGATGCGGGGACCCCGGGATCAGCTCCTGAGACAAAGGCAGTCATTCAACCACTGAGTCACCCAGGCGTCCCTCCAGTGGGTTTTAAATATGTAGATGTGTTTTATAATCTCTAAATCCTTAAGGCATGGATTTAATGTTTCCATTTCTAATGACTTTAAATCAACTTCATTCTCAACTGTTTTTGAAATCATTCAGCTTAAAAATTCACATGGTGAAGTGAAATAGCTCTTTGTATCACTTTTCAATTTTAACAGATTGTTTCCAGTAAGAAGCTAACTCGACCACTGGTGCTTAAAAATGGCAGACCTGCGGGGAAAGGGAGCATCACGGTAAACAATAAGATACTGGTCTTTTGCCTGAAAAGATTTTAGCATAATAGGACATGCTGAAACTATGCAAAGCAGACAAATATTATATAGCTACGCTTTATCATTTGATCCCAAATGCTGCCCTTCATCTGTACTTGACCTATAATGATAACAAATGAGAAATGTGTTGGGTCAAAAAGAAGGAGAAAAATGCGATGTGGGAATTCCTTCTTTGAGTCTTTTAAATTGCCCTTGGAATCAGGTGCACCTTGGTGATGCTTGCCTCTCTCTCCACACGGAACTGTAAACTCCCAAGTTAGAAATGGCTTAATCATCTGAATGGATTAATTTGAGCCTCTCCAAAACAAACACAGTTCCTCCAATAGCAAAGAAACTGCATAATGGACTTCATTCCAAACGGATCTTATATTATGCTATGCCCGCTAAACCTCTCAACTCTTTCTTTTTTTAAGTTTTAATTTAGTTATTTAAATAATAACTTAAATGTGGGGCTAGAACTCATGACCCCCAGATCAAGAGTCACATGTTCTTGCAACTGAGCCAACCAGGCACCCCTGAACCTCTCAACTCTTAACTATCTTTTTTTGTGCTTGCACTCTCCTGCCCATCTTCCATTCAGATTTTTCAATTGCTAATTACTGGTCCTAGGCAAATGAATATGTGCTTTATACTGTTTTAGATTTCAAATTATATAATGCCATACTTTAAATAAGTATCTTTAAATAATAGGATAAAGTAATTATCTTCTAGAGTTTCTGTCCAGATTATCACTGCCTCGAGCAATAGTTACTAACTTTAGCTTTGTCTGAGAATGGAAGGCTGGCTCCCTGAGAGAGTCATGTTTGAGGGTTATCGTCACTCTCAGGGCATTTCCCTAAGCAACTATTTTGCCCTAGTTTAAATCTCCGGAGGCATAAGAATGTTAAGTGTCTTTGGGGTGATGACTTCTGTGAGACAGAACATTACAGTAGTTAGTTTTATTGCCCTTAGGGTAATGATAGCCTGGAATTTTTAAGTAGAATAAGATTTTCAGTTACATTGGATGAAAAATGTCGATCTGTTATTTCAATTTAAAGTGTTCTCTAGGTATGATTTACTTTAGGAGAGCTTTAGGTAGGGTCATGCAGTCTTTCAGGGCTTTGATTTTTCAATGGAATGGTGAAGATCCATTTGGGGCAACAACATTTGAAAAGTAAGTTGTATAATACAGATTTGGCATATTTTGAGAAAATATTTATTTTATATAATTAAAATAAATAATGATCAGTCTTTCTGGATGGTACTATTTTTTTATCAAAGATTTAAAAATCTATATTAGTACAGACTGTATCTATTATCAGATAACAGAATAAGTCAGTACTTCTGAGTTTATCAGAGCTCCTAAAACATATGGTCTTTTACTTACCTTATGTACTCTTAGATTTCAGCTGAGGAAATAAAGGATAACAGAGTGGTCTTGTTTGAAATGGAGGCAAGAAAACTCGACAATAAGGTGAGTAGTTGATACACATTTCCACAAGGATATCATGTTTTGCCTCACCTTGATTCCTTTTTGAAACAAATAATAATGCAATTAGTATTATGAACTCCATCATCTAAGCATCACTTAGAGTATTTAGTTACTTCCAAATTCTTTTCTATGTACGTTTAAGCAGAAGCCATCTTCTTTTACCTCTTTCCTCTAGATGTTATCAAAGGGATTGTCTAGCTTAAGAGAGGAGTTATTAAAAGTATTGTTATTGTAAAAGGCATTTGAGAGAGTGTTGTTGGATTACCTTAAGGAAAGAAATAGAAATTCCATGCTCTATTGGGTTTTCTTCTTTGCTTCCAAAAGTCAATATTTTTTTTAAATGAGGAATGAATTCACAACACAACACAATAATAACACAACAATTTAGTATATAGCATGAATTAGAATAATTCCTTGATTTTTTATTTAATCACATAAACCAAATTTTTTTTTTTTTTTGTCATTTACATTTACCTTACAATTCAATTTGCAAACAGATTAGTAGCCAGGGACTTTTTTTTTTTTTGAAAAATTTAAACATACAAAAATAGAATAGTCTTTAAAAAACCCTGTATGTCCCCATCATCCATCTTCAACACTTATAAATCATGGCCAATTTTGCTTCATCTCCACCTCTATCTACCTTCGCTCCTCCCAGACATCATATCATTTATTCTGTAAATATTTTGGTGTATCTCCAAAGGTTCTTTAAACAGTATAATTGGTTAATATGTTTCAAGTCTTCTTTAAACCGTAAGTTCCCTCCTTTCTTTTACTTCCTCCCTCCCTCTCTCCTTTATTCCCTCACATTTCCTCCTTTCATCCCATCCATCCTTTCGTCCATCATGGAACTTATTCAATAAAGAAATGGACTCCGTTGTCCCATAGAAGTTGTAACATTGCATATAGCTGATTGTTAAATGATACCACAAGTATTCATATTCCTCTCTCTACCTTTATTTCCTGATTTCTGTAAGCTGGTAACTGAATTTAGAGAAATGATCTGATGGTATTTTGAATTGTAGGTAAGGCAACAATTCAGTAGGTGGTGGCATGTGTTTACATCAGGAGGCTCACATTGTTGAGTTCTTTTTGGGATGTTAGTGAACACTGATGATAATTATAGTATAATTATAATTATACTATCTAAATGTGTTATTTTATTTTATTTTATTTTATTTTTTATTTTTTTAAATGTGTTAAAGAGTCTGTTAAATCATGAGATTCTCATGGTATCATTGCTTCTTCATTTATTAATGAGGATACTTCTATAGATTAAAGTATTCTTACCCATGTTAGGTATTTATTTTTCTGAGATATGATTGTACAGGAAGCAAATTAAAATGATTATTTTCCTTCATATACACCATTTCACAGAATAAGTCGGTTGCCTATCATCCTCTAAATGTGACAATGTGGGGTTTTTTTTCGTTTGTTGTTTTTTATTTTTAGTGTTGCTATGAGCTCTTTATCAGTGAACTCTTATTGATGCTTAAATTATCTTAACTTTAGCCTATGGGAACCTCGTTAAGTTTGTTCCTGAAAACAATTGGCACGTCTCCAGGAGCCTTTGGATAGCTTCCTTGCTCTGTGGCATGACAAGATGTTTCAGGCTTACTTTATCTAATTTCTGCTCCAGACTGGCAGATTAAAAAGAGACTGATTATATTTTAGTGGAAATTGTTATGTAGAGATCAGTCTGGTGCTAGGGGTGCTTATTGTTGGTTATTGCCACTTACTATTTCTAAGGCTTTTTAGTAGACAATTAGAGAAAAGACTTTTTTTTTTTAAAGAAGAACTAAATCATAAATTTGTACAACTATTTCCTGTTCAAATATAGAATTACAGGGCCTTAACTCCCTTCTCTTAGGCTGAAAATCTCTGTTCCTAAGGATGTTGACATATTTACTTATCTGTTTTGTCTTTTACAATTTACAGAGTTTCACAATAAAAATATCCATATTATAATTAACAACAATTTTACTGAAAACAGATTGAGCTTTCTTTGAAATTCTTTTTCTTTTTTAGTTTTATTTATTCATTTATGCAATCTCTACATCCAGTGTGGAGCTCTAACTCACTTCTCTGAGATCAAGAGTCACATGCTCTACTGATTATGCGAGCTAGGCACCCTTCTTTGAAATTTTTTGTCTTTAGGGTTTTATGTTCCACTTGGGTTGTGTGTTCAAATTCTTGTGTTTTAAAGAAATCTTTTAGTAATTATTCTATCACAATGACACATTTGAATTTTGCTTTTGATATTTAGGGATTGTTTGCAATTTTAGAAAATTTAACTTTGTTTTATAATTATGTAGAAGATTTATGTGGTTCCAAAGCCAAATTTATAAAACAAGATATATTCAAGATATTTAGCTTCTTTCTCTGTACACTCTGTTTTTTCTTCCTTTTCCCCTATAGGTAATAATGCTTTAAAATTTATATTTTATGGTTTAATTTTTCTTTTTTTTTTTTAAGATTTTATTTATTTATTCATGAGAGACAAACAGAGAGAGAGGCAGAGACATAGACAGAGGGAGAAGCAGGCTTCTCACAGGGAGCCCGATGCGGGACTCGATCCCCAGACCGGGATCATGCCCTGAGCTGAAGGCAGATGCTCAACCACTGAGCCACCCAGGCATCCCTGGTTTAATTTTTCAATTTCCTTAAAAAAAGGAATAATAATAATAATAATAATAATTTTTTATGTCTGTGTATGTATTTGTATGTGTATTTGTATGTCTGTGTATCTATACATATATGTATGTGTATATTGATATATCTAATAGATAGATATGTATGTGTGTATGTATTTGTATTTATATTCCCCACCATCAGCCCTTGGGTATCTGTAGCATACTACATACATATACTTTTTTTTAGTGAGCAAGAGAGAGGGAGAGAGAGTGCCTGTGTGTCCATGTGCATGCACTAGTGGGGCGGGGAGTGTGCAGGGGTGAGGGACAGGCAGAGAGAGAATGTTAGGCAGGCTCCATTCAATGGGAGCCCAACTTGGGGCTCCATCTCACAACCCTGACATCATGAGCTGAGCCGAAAGCAAGAGTCTGTTGCTTAACTGCCTAAGCCTCCTGTGTGCCTCCAGACATATACTTTCATACACACACACACACACACACATATATGTATATTCTCTATATATGCACATATATACTTTTCTCCACCTTGCTTCTTTCACTTAATATGCTCTGGGGGTCTGAATCAGGAACTTTTAATTCTTTTTTTTTAAGACTTTATTTATTTATTTATTTGACAGGGAGAGAGAGAGAGAGAGGGAGAGAGAGAGAGAGAGAGAGAGAAAGTAAGTGAGCACAAGTAGGCCGAATGAGAAGGAGAAGCAGGCTCCAAGCAGAAAGCCTGACACAGGTATCAATCCCAGGACTGTGGGATCATGACCCGAGCCAAAGGTAGATGCTTAACTGACTGAGCCAAGCAGGCACCCCAGGAACGTTTAATTCTTATTTTATTTCTACTACTGACTTCTTAATGAACTTTCAGAGAAGATTTGTTGTGTGACCTTTCAGAATGGTAATAATGATATCCTGCTTTTTTTTCATAGGTTTATTTCTAAGATAGGTCAGACAGGGTACATTAGTTTTTAGAAAGTTAACTTCCCTGTGTATAGTGCTGCTATTTTTATAAAATGGTTCACGTAGGGGCTTATTATTTTGATTCTTAAGATTCTTCTTAAGTTCTGGGGTGCCTGGGTGGCTTAGTTGGTTAAGCACCTGCCTTCGGTTGAGGTCATGATCTCAGGGTCCTGGGATTGAGCCCTACGTCAAGCTCTCTGCTCAGTGGGAAGTCTGCTTCTCTTTCTGCTTCTGTACTCTCTCTCTCTCAAATAAAATCTCCAAAAAAAATTTTTTTTGTAAAGTTCTGCATAGCCTTTGTGTGTGTGTATATAATCTCTACAGCCAAATGGAGCTCAAACTCATGACCCAATATCAAAAGTCCTGTGGTCTCCTAACTAAGCTAGCCAGGTACCCCTGTGTTTATGTATTTTTTTTAAAAGATTTTATTTATTTGAGAGAGAGAGAGCACGAGGAGGAGGAGAGGCAGAGGGAGAGGGAGAAGCAGACTCCCCACTGAGTGAGGAGCCTGACATGGGGCTTAATCACAGGACTCTGAGATCATAATCTGAACCAAAGTCAGACTTCTAACCAACTGAGCCACCCCGGCTTCCTCCCCTCTGCCCTGTGTTTATATTTTTGTACCAAATGTATTATTTGCTTGACATTGAACTGCTCAGGAGGGAAATAACATTATCTTAGTTCTTACTTTAATACTGAGTTTAATTTAGGACTCAAAAAAATCTTCAATTCAGGGGCATAGCTACATATATTACTATGGAATTAACAGGTAACAGGAATTCATTTTGACAAATAAAATTCTAAGGAGTGTGGAAATTTCAAAAGGAAGGCAAACAAAAATGGGAAAACAAAATCATTTATAATTTCACTACTTGAGTTTGACCTTTGGAATTGATTTGGTCATTCTTCCAGAATTTTAATTTCCGTGTAAGTGTGTGTAGGTGTGTATATTTGTGTGTGTTTGTGTTGAGGATGCTGATAAGGGCATTTTTGAGCACTCACTGTGCTGCAGCATTATACGGGTGTGGTGTGAATTACAGAGGAAAAAGAAGATATACTTTGTACCCTTCAAATAATTCTGTTATGCATTTCACATACTTACCTCTACTCCCTTGTGTGTGTAAAGAAATGTGTGGAATTGGTGGAAGAGTATTGGACATAGAAGGATAAGATACAAAGTCAAGACTCTGATCCAGGAATTCATTCGATGTGTGATCTTGGCAAAGTGATTTAACCCCTCTGAATCCATTTTATTGCTGATAACTGCTCTGTCCCTCATGGAGTCAGTACAAATAATGTTTGAAATGTCATTTATATCAAACTATTCAATGCCATACAAATGAATACCGTTAATAATGAAAACAAGTCCAGGGGATCCCTGGGTGGCTCAGTGGTTCAGTGCCTGCCTTTGGCCCAGGGTGTAATCCTGGAGACCCGGGATCGAGTCCCTTGTCGGGCTCCCTGCAGGGAGCCTGCTTCTCCCTCTGCCTGTGTCTCTGCCTCTCTCTCTTTCTCTATGTCTATCATGAATAAATAAATAGAATCTAAAAAAAAAGTCTAAGACATATTTTATTGATTATGGGTCCTATTGTTCACTATATTTAAAAGCCATGTTCTCAGGGTTTTTTTTTGAGAAGTAAAGTCCTGATACACAGGATTATGAGCATCTATCACAAATGCCTCGCTTCAGCAAGTTTGTAAGTTCATGAGGAAGGTAATGGGATTTGTATTTACTACTGTTCTGCATATATATCTGTACTACGGAGTTAGGCTTCAGGTATTGCTGATATGTAACATGAATAATATGTGGTTTCACATGGTTTCAGAGGAGAATAATTAACTTTTTTTAAATGTAGGATCTATTTGGAAAGTCAGATCCATACCTGGAATTCCACAAACAGACATCTGATGGAAACTGGCTAATGGTTCATCGAACAGAGGTGAATATCTGAATTTGAAAAAGTAGGGTTGAGATTTCCGTTGGAATTGTAGTAATCTTAATTTTTAAAAATTGTTTATAAAAATATCAATTTGAAAAAAAAATCAACTTGAGTTCAGATATATATGGCCAGAGATACAAGATCAGCATACTCATTTTTTTTTCTTTTTATGAGAAGGAGATACCAAGATTAACTATTAGTAAAATTTTTATATTGAAAAATTTAAAACCCTGTAAAAAGCATTAAAATGTATACCCTTGTATCCTTCACCTAGATTTACCAACTAGTCATATCTGTATGCATGTTTTTCCTTTTTCACTTACTCACTCACATGCTCAGCTCTTGGGCCAGCCAGGTGCCCCGCAGTCTCTTACTTTATTATTTTATTTTATTTTTTTAGTCTCTTACTTTATGTTAAAGTATATTCTCAGGTCATTTTATAGTCACCTTGTCTCAGGTCTGGAATGAGCTCTTTCTCTTGGAACCCTATTCCTGTAAGAGAGTAGTGCTAGATGTACTTAATAGTATTGACATGTTGTTTCATTTAGGCCTTTTCAGTGGACATAGTTGGGAATCGTGTATTTATGTATATGTTTATTATGTGTATATATATTTATGAAAATATTTAATCATGAATTTAGACTATTTCTTCAAGTCCAACCCAGCCAGGTTCTTTCTCATCCTTTCTAACTCCAAATTTGAATCTTCTGTGTCCTGCAATGAAAACCCTGGTTTCCAACAAAATCAACAATCAGTAGTTTTAGGTGTACCTTGTAATGGGTGAAATATATTTCCAAATAGTTTCTTTTCTCAGAATGTATCTATCACATTTTTTCCTAACAGTTGTATAATAATTGTTCTAGATAGTTTTTCATTGAAAAAGTTGATTGGGCAAAAAGGTAAAGGATGATTGGTAAGAGTGTATCCAGAATGTAGGAAAAGGAAGAGCAAAATGTTAAGGAACTAAATGTTTTTCTAACTAGTCTTTGAATCTTCATTTTACAGGTTATTAAAAATAACTTGAATCCTGTTTGGAGACCTTTTAAAATCTCTCTTAACTCCCTGTGTTACGGAGATATGGATAAAACGATCAAGGTGATTTAAAGTTATATATATGCTATATATACATATATATATAACATATATATATGCATTTTCTTTCATAAAACTAGTTGAACAGATAATATTTAATAAAAATAAATGATATAACAGATACCTGTAAGGATTGAATTTTATTTGTATTTAGGAATATTAAAAGAAATGTCTCTGGTAAGTAAATGGTCAGTTTGAATGGGTAGACATGTTTGATCTGTTGGTCTAATGCTTAATCAAACATTGTGATTTTCATTTTACTCTTCATTGTTAAAAATAAAATGTCCAATTTAAATCTTCCCTCCTTTGAATAAGATTTCTTTGCTCTGCAAATAGGAACCTTTAACTGCACTCTTTGCCTTTGAGTGTCCCTTAAAGATAAAAGCAGACGTTACTTTAACTAAAAACCAGAGCATCTTCCTGCCCTCAGCAGCAGAGGAAAATAGTGGTGGCATTTTCCATCGCTTATTTTCAGAGCAAGGTATTTTTCATTTAATACTTCTAGATGACTTTAGTATAAAGTGTTAGGAAAGCAGAATGGGAACAGGAAGTAGCAGGTGTTTAGGAATTTTTTTTAATGTTTTAATTTATAGCCATTTATTGGAAAATATTTCTTATTTTAAAGACACATACTAGAGTCTCTTTACATAAAATTCCAGATAGAAGCGTCTTCTTGTGTTTAGATGTCAACTAACCAAAGTGTTCCCCCCACCCCCTTTGATAATGAATACAATAAAAACAGGAAAGGTGATGGCACAGAACACATGATTTCATGTGAGGCTATTGTCCAAGTTTTGACTTAGGCCTTCAACCAGATAAGGGATCTTGGGCAGATCATCTACTTCTTCCCTTATACAACAGAGAAAATAATGTCTATATTACAAAAAAAGAGAAAGATTAAATTAAAGTGTAAGTTTTATAAGCCATTATACATAGCATAGATGCTATTAGATTGACAATGGTTTCATTTCTTAGATACATAAAAATTTGTCCTAAGTTGGCAGAGAACTTGAAAGATCAATGTAAGTATGATTTATGTGGTATTTCAAACAGCAGTGAAAATTTAGGTAAAAAATAAATGTAGAACAATAGTTTTAAAAACTAATTTCTATTGTTAAACTAAATCTAGAACTTTTGCTTTTCACATTAAAAGAAAATCTTAATAGATCTGAGAAACAGGAAAGGCTGGGGAAAAGAAATGCCTAAACCATAACTGATTGCTTGTAATAATACGTTAACAATGAAACAATGTTTTTTAAACTTTTTTTGCACACAGTGGCATGCTTACAGGGCTATTTTATTATAGTAAGTAAACTGATTTTCTGAGCTTTCCTGATGAATGTCTTTTGTTCTTAAAAGTTTCTCAGTTTCTTTTAACTATACACAACTTGGTTTACCACATCATGACTGTCTTTATTTCTTTAGTTCTATATTTCTTTGCAATATCATAAAGTCATACATGTGTGATTCTCTTGGTGTTTGGAAATTGTTTAGAGGTGTGGTAATGAGTTTTAGAGCGGAGAATAGAGTCAGGATCATCAATAATTTCTTTGCTGCTGTGTGAATGTGCCAGTGTTATCACTCCAGCATGTATTATTATTTCCATAAGATCAAGTGAGTAAAAGAAATAATCATGCATGCTGCCACCTTGCCTAAAATGAGAATGCCTTAGTGAATATAGTATTGTGTGGTGTGTGCATTCTTTTACATATATACATATGTGCGTATGTATATATGCATATATTTCAATTTCACAAGCACTGCTGATACTTTTGTTATAACAGCCAATAGTATTAGTTTTTGAATTTTTGAGAAGAGAAATTAAATTACACAAATCATTATATCATTTACTTCAAACTATATCTGAACATATGCCATCATTATAAATGTCACATCTTTTAGTGCCAAATGTTTCCCTTCAATGTGGCAACAGTGAGTTTTTCATATATATTAATTATAGTGAGCTATCAGAAATTACAGCTTAAATATCTTTTTATATTCCCTGAAGTCTCAGGCAGTCTAAATATATGAAGAATTTAGGTGTTTATATGCTTCTTTAAAAAATAAAATTGGCCTTATCAAAGCTTGATCTCGTCTTAGATATAAGTTGGAGTTTCCTGAAAGCAAATCTAAAATGCAGTTCTGGGGCACCTGGCTGGCTCAGTTATAGAACATGCTACTCTTGATTCCAGGGTGGTGAGTTTAAGCCCCATGTTGGCTGTAGAGCTTACTTAAAAAAAAAAAAAAAAATCAAGTTCTATTTTCCATAATTAAAAAACATCTATTAAAAAGTGAAATCATGAAAATATTAAAATTGCTTTTGGCTTTATCTTAATTTTACTTTCTCTGGAAAAAAATTAGTGAGATCATTAATTTTCTTTTCCCCTCACTCCTCTCTGAAGAGTCAGATAAAGGGGCTTTGGTTTAAAAATTAAATATCAGATATATAAGGCAAGAAACAAACTGTCATAATTGGTCAGTGACCAGAGTGTTTATAACAAATAAAAATCTTTAAAGTTACTCAAAATTGCAATTTCTAGATCTTATCTTTATTGATTGTCTGAATTTTAGTCTTCCTGGAATCGTAATGAAAATATTAGTAAGGAATGAAGCACTTCCTGTTATGATAGGCACTCATTTCACTTCTCATAGAACTGTGGGAAGAAAATAAATCACTCTGCTGGATGAACACATAAACCCTAAGCATTTTAATTTGGCAATTAATATAACTTTGTAAGAGGTACTCTCTTGGCAAATACTCTCAGTTATTGGCTTTTGTTTTAAATCTCTAGAAGAGTTCAAAAGTGTCCTTAGCACAGCTTTACATACCTATATTAAAAAAAAAAAACCTATATTAGTTAACAAATAAAATATATCATCTTCTAACACTATTTAATTCCTTTGCCTACTTCTCAAGCCTAAGTAGATAATGTGTGCAGTACACATAATAAATGTTTGTGGAAATGAGATAATCTGTTCTGAAATTACAAAGCCCTATTAAAAGGTTGGTTATTCAAATGATCACAGTGAACACCTCTGTTTGCTAACAGTTCACACCACCTTAATATTCTCATAACAGTGAATAATCAGGTATTCTTGTGAATATTTACCCTCTGGCTATGCTGTCAGTTTGGCAATATCAAAACTAGATGCACATCAAATACTTGATGTGCATTAGACAACTCTCTAATGCCTGCTTTAAGAAAGAACAATCATTACATGAGAGCCATAGAAAGGAATAGAATTCACCCTGTCTTACATGGAAATAAAATTAATATGACCCAGGCTAGATACTTCCTCACTGGATTAAGTACTCTTTTCCTTGAACTTTAGTTTTCATTCTACAACCTGTGATTCTCAGAAGGATGCAAATCTTACTTCATCATGTCTAACTCTGAATATAGGCCTAGTCTTACCAGATTGCAACTAATGAAATACATTTGCCATATTTCTAAATTATCTAGGATTTAATTATACAAGTTTTAGCTGTCTAGGATAGTGACTTCCTTTCTTTCTGCAGATGATGACAGTGATAACAAGTAAAGAATTGGATGAGAAAGAACGTGTAATTCCATTTTGATGTTATCAGCTCTTGATGTTATCAGCTCTTATAAAGAGCATGATAGATGAACTGGAAACTGCTTAATATAGAATTTAAACTATTTTTATTTTTCATCTGCCTGTGATCTATCTTAGAGCCCCACTCCACAAATAGCTGGGGTTTGAAAGTGTTTCAGTATTACTCCTCCAGGAAGTTAGTTACTACTTCTCCAAGTAGAACTGCATATTCAACATTTTCACTAATTTTAATCAAATGGGCATTTCTTGGTAAGTCCCATTTATTGCAGCCAATCCTTTTAAACAAAATGATGTTGATTTTTATACATATTTATTATACTTCATCTAGGTAGAGTGCTATGATTATGATAATGATGGGTCACATGATCTCATTGGAACATTTCAAACCACCATGACAAAACTGAAAGAAGCCTCCAGAAACTCACCTGTAAGTTGCATCTTTGTCATTGAAGGTACTTTACTGTTTGGCCATGTATTTATTATTTTGTTTTTTCCCCCTTGGTATAGCAAACAGCTTGCCGTGTTTTTACTCTGTTACAAACTTTTCTGAAATCTGTGGATTTTATTTGTGTAGTAATTGGATGATCCAAAATTCATGCTTGGAGCATAAGTTTACATTTATAAATAGAGGTTTGGTTTCCTCTGGTTTCAGACAACATATATAGGGTTTGATTGAAAATCTCTAGTTTGGGAGCACTTGGGTGGCTCAGTTGGTTAAGCATCTGCCTTCCATTTGGGTCATTATCTCGGGGTCCTGGGATCAAGCCCCACATTGGGTTCCCTGTTCAGTGAAAAGTCTTGCTTCCCTCTGCCTCAGTCTCTGTCCATCCCTCTGCTCATGCTCACTTGCTCACTTTCTCTCTCAAATAAATAAATAAAAATCTTAAAAAGAAAGAAAGAAAGAAAAGAAAGAAAGAAAGAAAGAAAGAAAGAAAGAAAGAAAGAAAGAAAGAAAAAATCCCTAGTTTTAAAGCATTTGGCATTGGAATACCTGGGTGGCTCAATGGTTGAGGGTCAGGGTATATGATCTCAGGGTCTGAGTCCCGCATCAGGCTCCCTGTAGGGAGCCTTCTTTTCCCTCTGCCTGTGTCTCTGCCCCTTTCTCTATGTCTCTCATGAATACATAAATAAAATCTTTAAAAAATAAAAAATAAAAATAAAGCATTTGGCATTTCATCGGTCATAATAATTAAGTTCTACAACATTAGGTAAATATACCTGGGCTTGAACTGTGTACATTTATGTTCCTTCTGGATAGGCTTTTACAATCTGCCTCTGGCTCTTCTGTTTTCACCAAGGCGAAGGATAAAAGCATAATTATGGTATTTCAAATTATGTAATATTAAGCCTCCATTTAGTGGCACTAATTTTGTTAAGATCATTCATGTGCCTTAACTACATTCAGTTTATTATTTAGCATCCCAACATATTCCTAAGGGTGCTTCTGAAACTTTTCTGCCTCTAAAGCTGAGGTGGCTAAAAAGTATTTCAGAGCATTTTATGAGTAGAATAAAACATCAATTTCTCCCATCTTATTTCCTTTCTAGTTTGGATGGGATAAGCTGTTAATTCTCTTTATAGCTTGCTTATAATAGGATAATAGGAATTATTTATTACATGCTTAGAGACCTGCATAATGTTCATGTATACGGCCTTTCCTTTTGCAAATGCAAACATGGGGTTTAAGAGATAAGAAGTTATAGTTAGATGAGGTCTTTTTTACCTTGTCATGTAAATGAGGTAATCTAAGACAAGATAATGATAGTTTTAGATCAAAATTTAAATACCAAATAAATAAACAAGCCATTTAGTTTAAGTAATGGGGAAAATGAGTTTTATTTTATTTTTTTAGAAGATTTTATTTGGGACACCTGGGTGGCTCAGCGGTTGAGCATCTGCCTTGCGCTCAGGGTGTGATCCTGGGTTCGGGGATCAAGTCCTGTATCAGGCTTCCTGAGAGGAACCTGCCTCTCCCTCTGCCTATGTCTCTGCCTCTCTGTGTCTCTCATGAATAAATAAATAAAATCTTAAGAAAAATAAGATATTTATTTATTTGAAAGAGAGAGAACATAAGCAGGGAGAGGGAGAAGCAGATTCCCTGCTGAGCAGGGAGCCTACGTAGGGCTTGATCCCAGGACTTCTGGGATCATGACCTGAGCTGACCTGCTTTTAGAAGATAATGAATGAACAACTAACTTTGTAATACTTTATAGGTCCTGTAGAGTTTTTCTCAATCTAGCTATCTTGATCCTTCCCTTTTCCATGACAGAATGGGGCTTTTACTGCTGCTGCAGTAACATTTACCCATTCTTGTTTTTCAAAGGCAGGGCCATATAATCTGTGTTTTCAGTGCCTGGAATAGTGCCTGCCACTTGGTAGACACTCAGTAGAACTGGGAATAAATGAAATGAAGTAATAAAGCCTTTTACCAATGAGAATTCTCTTTAGGCCTTTCCTGCATCTCAAATATTCAATTGTTAACATCTATGATGATGACTGAGACTCTGGCAGGATCCTGAACTACCAAAGAATTGTTTAACATAATTTTGTTTTTTATCATTATATCTATTATACCTTTTAATGTTTGATTCTTAGAAAATTAACAATGACTCTGCCTAAAGTATATAAGTTACTTTCTATTAATTAGAAAAGGTGACTGACTTATCAAGTATTCATTGAGTATCTCTTATGTTGTTATTAGGCAACATAGAGAAAGTATATTTCAAAGTATTTGAAAGTATAATTTGTAGGTGATTATATCCTAGGTGTGAAACAAAACTAACGAAACAATTGAGAATAACACAAAGTATGTAACTAAATTTTATATGGTGGTAGAAGTTTAAGAAGATGAATGGACACAGAAGATTGGAATAATAGTTGATGTTATAGAGGAGAGCAGCTTGAGCCAAGCCTTACAGATGGACAGGTGGCTAGGAGGTGGAAAAGAAGATCCTTCTATTTGGGGTAGTTCTATTCCTAAAAATATTCTCAGTGGAAAGAGGTGATCTTTGCATATTTTACCATACAGTTAGGCTCCATATATTTCTGTTTTATGATGGTAGTTTTTTTCCTTCTTTTCTAAGCAGCATATTTTTGTTCTTTCTGAAAGAAATGGCTCAGAGTAATATTTTATTTCCCTTATTATAAAAAAGGAAGAATACTACTTGGAACATTTGCAAGGAAATCATCTATAGAGGCAAAAATTTATACTTAGGAACTATTTAAACATGTATACAATTTTAGGAATGCTTTGTGGAAATTTCAGTGATAAATATTTCACATAGTTAATCTATTATGTAATTGTTTCAAAATTGTATTTTACCAACAGACTTACATCAGCAGATGTTTTGATTCCAAGAGGAAAAAACCATTTATTTGAATTCACATTTTTTATATTACTAGGAAGAATTAACATTGTGTCTTTTCTTCCTACAGGTGGAATTTGAATGCATAAATGAAAAAAAGAGACAAAAGAAGAAAAGCTACAAGAATTCAGGTGTTATCAGTGTGAAACAGTGTGAGGTTAGTTGATGTTAACCATTTATAGTATAATGAGATCATATTTCAAGTTTTTTTTTCAATAGGTATATATTAAACCAACAAAGAATATTAAAGCTTTTTCCTTAGAAAATGTAAATTGAATTTTGGGCAGTTGAAAATCGTATGACCATCTGGACACCTTTAGGGGAAAGAAGATAGTCGGGAAGAGTAAAGAAATCTGTGAATAACTTTGTTTCTAAGGTTTGACAACTTTTTGGGAAAAGACAAAGAATATTGAAGTTTTTTCCTTATTTTAGGAAATGTGAAACATCATGGTATTTTCCCAGGGCATTAGTGGAAATGACCTGATGCAGTGCATCTATCCTGGTCATAATTTCAAGTTAAGATATTATAAATAGAGGGAAAAATTCAGATTTCTTACAGTAAATTAATGGTTTTGTTTTGTTTTTTAAAATCTTGATTATTTTGCTTGTTAAAGATCTCAACATATTAGACTCATTATTACTAGTTTCTCAAAACTTAAAGTGAGTATATTTCACCTTTATCCATTAATATTCTAATCTTAGGGTGGCTCAGGTGGTTGACGGACTCTTGATTTATGCTCAGGTCATGATATCGGGGTCATGAGATCCAGCCCTGATTTGAGTTCCCTGTTTGATGGTGAGTCTGCTTCTCTCTCCCTCTGCCTCTCCCCCAGCTCATGCTCTCTCTCTTTCAAATAAATAAATCTTTTAAAAAAATTCTAATCTTTAATTATCTCAAAGTAAATCTTATAGATTCATGACAAGTAGGGGCAGGGGTATCTTAAACTCAAATGGTAGGGCAGTTTCTATGAGTTTATATCATGTTCTTTTCAGTTTCTAACTGTTAAAAATATATGCCCGAGAGCTCTTTTTATCTCTTGTATAGTAAGAGATTTGTATTTTTTTTAAAGATATATTTATTTATTGGGAGGGGGATAGGCAGAAGGAGAGAGAGAGAGAGAATCCCAAGCAAACTCCTTGCTAAGTGCAAGAGCCAGATGCAGGGCTCGATTCCATGACCCAGTATGACCTGAGCCAAAACCCAAGTGTCAGATGTTCCTGACTGAGCCACCCAGGTACCCTAGTAAGAGATTTTTTTTTTTTTTAAAGATTTTATTTACCTATTAATGAGAGACACAGAGAGGGAGAGACATAGGCAGAGGGAGAAGCAGGCTCCCTGCGGGGAGCCCAGTGTGGAACTTGATCCTAGGACCCCAGGATCACACCCTGAGCCAAAGGCAGATGTTCAACCACTGAGCCACCCAGGTACCCCCAGCAAGAGATTTTTTTAATTTTAAAGTTTGCTATTTGTTTTTAGATCACAGTGGAATGCACATTCCTTGACTATATCATGGGAGGATGTCAGCTGAATTTCACTGTAAGTAATACTGACTTTTTCAAAGTAGGCTGTAACATGTTACTTTTTCCTACCATTTTATAGTGTTCTTTCTTTTCCTGTAAAACTGACTTTGGAATTTACACAGTCTGTTTAGTTATGGTCTCCTTAGTTTGTCTAAGTTCATTATGAAGCTTTCAACTTTGTTAATAAATTCTGTTCCTTTTGATGGAAAGCAGATATGTCCTGGAGTAATTTAAATTATAGAAAGCATTAGTCAACCTACAAAACAAGCCCTGTGTCTAAAGTCATGGGTGTAATAATTCATGGATTTGAGACATCTACAAAAAATAGGAATATTAGGTTGTTTCAGACTGTAGCTTCAATTGTTTAATTGTCTGTGGAAATACTGGTAGCCCCAGGCATTTGTTAGGAAATGGCAGCACCCAGCTCTGGAATGAATGTTTTTATCTGTCTCCTAGACATTGAGTGTAGGGCTTCTCCTTAGTAAGGGCTGTGATTGTTATTTGGCAGGTGGGAGTGGACTTCACTGGCTCTAATGGTGACCCAAGGTCTCCTGACTCCCTTCATTACATCAGCCCCAATGGTGTTAATGAGTATTTGACTGCTATCTGGTCTGTGGGACTGGTCATTCAAGATTATGATGCGTGAGTATGACTAAAATACTTGTTTTCTTAACTCCCCAGAAAGGGTAGTTTCTGTTTCACCTGCTAGTACTCTGATATAGTTGGTGATGATAAAGCTGCTGGGGTTGACTGGGGGAAGGGGAAGGAGTGTGGTGGGGGTAACTTTCTCCCTAACATTTCCTTTGTGTTATCTTTTCTAGTTTTCTCTTTGTGACAGTCTTAGTGTTTATTTTTGACCTCTTATCTTTAGCTGTGATCAGTTATAATGTGTTATATATAGCTTGTTTATTTAACAGCTGACTGGAGTCAACAAGACTTGTTTCTTTGATTTAGTTTCCTTGGGGTTTACTTATTAGGGATAAGTTATATGTGTGATTGAAGTCCAGATGACACATTGTGTAAATACTCATAGACACTGTTTATTAATGTGTCTATTTTTTGGCAGCCACTGTCAAATTATTTTGTTTTCTCCTTTTTTTTTTTTTAGATTTATTTATTTGAGAGACAGAAAGAGGGAGGGAGAGAGAACACAAGCAGGGTGAGGGACGGGGAAGAGGCCAAGGGAGAGAATCCCAAGCAGATTCCCTGCTGAGCATGAAACACCATGCCTGACTGGATGTCTCAACCTTGAGATCATGACCTGAGCAAAAATCAAGAGTTGGACACTTAACCAACTAATTCACCCCGGAACCCTTCAAATTATTTTCTTAATGGCCACTTTGAACAAGTGCTGAAAGATAACTTGACCTAATTGCTGTAAAATATTTTGAATAGGTTCTCAGTGTATGGATTTTTGAATAGATTAAATAGGCCCTCTTGAAGGTTTGCCAAACAATAGAAAAAAAGTTGCATTAATAATTTTTGTTCTGGGGATGCCTGAGTGGCTCAGTGGTTGAATGTCTGCCTTGGTTCAGGGTTGATACTGGGGTCCTGTGAGGAGCCTGCTTCTCCCTCTGCCTGTGTCTCTGCCTCTCTCTGTGTGTCTCTCATTAATAAATAAGAAAAATTAAAAAAAAAATTTTCTGGATCTCTTAGAGCACAGTGTGAATTTTCACTTGTCTTTGCCTATTTATGATAAAAGCCCTTTCAGATATTGATGGAGCTTTTCATTAGTGTGCTATGACATTTAGAAAGGTAAACTTAAAAAAAAATAAAAATAAAAATAAAAAATAAAAAGGTAAACTTTTCAGGCAAATGCAAACAAATCTAAAGCAAAGGTGGTAATTTCATTATCAGCCTAGTATTTAAGGCAAAATCATTAAATATAATAAAAAATGATTTTATATAATACTTTGTTACATAATCCAAAATGAAAATATAACCATTGACATGTTTGATAACAGAGTATTTTCAAATGAAAATAGAAATATAATTAAAAATTTAAAGTATCAATTATAATGGGGCTTATATAAAAAATAAAAAATTTACAGGGTTGCTTTATCAGCCTGCCACCTAGAAGTTAATAACAAAAGGGTAACTAAATACAATTTACCATATGGACATAAAAAAATCTTAAGTTGATTGAAGAGGAAATTGAAGTATAATAACAAACTATCTAGAAATAAGGAGCAACGAGACTATACATGATCCTATCTTTTTCTTTTTAATTTGAATTTTAGGTAGTTAATATACAGTGCAGTCCTATCTTTATTGAAGACAACTTCTGACTTTACATGCTTTTATTTTTAAACAATAAAAATTGAATATAAATGAACTAGCATTTCAATAAAATAAAAGAATAGGAAGAAAAATAACAATAATGGCAGGATCTATCTATGTATTAGCTATTATGTGTCAGGCACAATTTAATATAGTTTTTTTAAAAGATTTTATTTATTTATTAATGAGAGACACAGAGAGAGAGGCAGAGACACAGGGAGAGGGAGAAGAAGGCTCCATGCAGGGAGCCCAACGTGGGACTGGATCTCGGGACTCCAGGATCACACCCTAGGTTGAAGGTGGTGCTAAACCGCTGAGCCACCCGGGCTGCCCTTAATATAGTTTTTATGTGACACTCATGTAATCCTCATACTTTGCTGTGACATAGGTACTATTATCATCCATTATTTTCTATAGTGTACAGATGGGAAAATTGAGGGATAGAGAGTTAGGTAACTTGTCCAGCACTGAACTGGTAACTGGCAGAGAATTGAGCCTGGGCTATCTGCTGGAGACATGCTCTCCAAGCTTTATTATGAACTTGATGGGCAGCCCGGGTGGCTCAGTGGTTTAGCGCCGCCTTCAGCCCAGGGCCTGATCCTGGAGTCCCGGGATGGAGTCCCCTGTCAGGCTCCCTTCATGGAGCCTGCTTCTCCCTGTGCCTGTGTCTCTGCCTCTCTCTCTCTCTTTGTGTCTCTCCTGAATGAATAAATAAAATCTTAAAAAAAAAAAAAAAAAAAAGAACTTGATGTACTGTGCTGTATTTCCTCTATGCACTGAAAGTAGGAACTTGAAAAGTTTAACCTCCTCTCCCTCCAACTAAATTAATAAATTCAATGAAGAGAGGATTCTTTGCAAGTTCAACAAAACTCAGGCAAATCTTGCGAACCTCAATCCCCAAGAAAGAGAAAACATGCATAGAAAGAATATTAGTAATGAGACAGAGATTATAAGCATAAATTCAGTTAATTAAAAGTTAATACTATGTAAAACTTTGTTATTACATTGGAAAACCTGGATTCAAGGATGATTTTGGGGGGTGGGAAGCTTTAAAGTTTTAAGCTTTTAAGCCTTAAAGCTTAAATTAGCAAAGTTGCCTCAAAGAGGCAGGAAGCCTGAATAGACCTGGAAAAATGGAAGGAATGGAATGGCTTAGTCAAAGAGCCACTCCTCACAAATGCAGCAGGCCAAGACAATTTCAACATAAGTTCTAGCAAACCTATAAGGAATGAATTCAAAACCTAAAATAATCAAGCAAAAAAATACTAGAAAGTAGTGAGAGTTCAGAAGGGTGGTCGGATACATAAAATTTAAAAAAATCAGCAATTTCTCACTAGCCAGCAATAACCAGTTCAAGAAATTATGGCAGATACAATATCTCAATTCATAATGCAATAAAAAATGAGAATGAATTCAATAAGAGGTCTAGGATCTTTATTGAGGGAAGACAACAAAATTGTACTAAGGGACAAGGAAGGAGATTCGTTTAAATGGAGAGATAACCACGATTCTAGGTAGGCAAGTGTCATAATAATGTAAGATATAAAATTTCTCCCAGAATTAATCAATTCTAATCAAAATTGTAATCAAATCATGCTAAAATGATTTTTAACATTTTCTAGAGGGAAAAACGAGTTAGAATAGCCAAGAAATTTTTCAGAAAAAGAAAAAAGAAATAAGGGGAGTTTTTTCCCAGCAGAAATTAAAACTTATCTTAAATCTACATTAATTAATATTACCTGACCAGTAGAACAAAGCAAGAAGTCTTGAAATAGACCCTAATGTGTAAGTTAACTTAGTATATGATAGAGATGACATTTTAGGGGAGAAAAGTTGTCACAGCTGCTAAACTAGACAAGAAGTAAATTTGGATCCCTAACTCATACCTGTATATGTTAAGATACTATTTTTTTCTTTTAAGATTTTATTTTTAAGTAATCTCTACACCCAACATGGGGCTCAAGCTCACAAAGTTGAGATCAAGAGTCACACGCTGCACCGACTGAGCCAGCCAGGTGCTCCTGTTAGGATACTATTTTGTATTGTATATGGTACAGATAAACTGCTGGAATGGATACTCAAAAACAAAGTGCATTTATCAAAATAGAAGTTTATTTCTCTTTCATGTTGCAAGTCTAGAGATAGTACAGGACTGATAGGGCAGTTCTATCATTGTCAACTCACAGATTCCAACCCTGTGTCCACAGCAGCTGCTATGCTTCTCATCTTGTCTAGTTGAGTGGGAGGAGGAGAAAGGCAACTGGGAGGGAGTACGTGTGCATTCCCACCTAGGGGCATGATTCAGAAGTTGCTGGGTGACTAGTTCTACTCAAATTTCCTTGACTAGAATCTAGATGCCACCTGGCCACATGCAGCCCAGAGGGGCTGGAATAGAGCTAATGTGGTCTCCAGCTCGGGTGTTCCATTATTAAGGGAGAGAATTGATACAGGTGGAGAGTAACAGGTTCTGTTTCATATTCTACTCCAAAATACTTTCCAGATGAATTAGAAGTTTGATATCAAAATTAAACCTTGAGGGCGCCTGGGTGGTACAGTGGTTGAGTCTCTGTCTTCTGCTCAGGGCATGACCCTGGGACACTGGGATCGACTCCCACATCGGGCTCTCCACAGGGAGTCTGCTTCTCCCTCTGCCTGTCTGCCTGTCTTTGTGTCTCTCATGAATAAATAAATAAAATCTTAAAAAAAATTAAACCGTAAATGTTCTAGGAATAAGTATGTGTGAAATGTTTATATCTTGCAGTGAAGAAGGCTAAGCAAGGCAGCAGAGGCAGAAATCATGAAAGAAATTTTATTTGTTCACATTCATTAATATTGAAAACTATAAAAGGAAATTTATTTTAAACAAAGTTAAAGGCAGACCACAACCTGGGAAAAAATACTCCTGATGTGTCTGACTTAGGTTCTATCCTCAATGCAAAAAGAATCATTAAGAATTAATATAAAAAGAATATCCTAGCAGAAAAATTATTATGTTCATTACAGAGTTTTATAATAGCAAAATAGTGGATGTTTATAGGTTGGGGGAGAATATCCATACAGTAGAGTACTTGGCAGCCACACATGATGTTATATATTCAGGTCCATAATCCTTTGGGGCCAAATATTAACACATTTTGATACAAAAAATGTGAGAATTTTATATGTGGCATTTGTACCATGTTTCTCTGGCCAAATGTATGGATATTCATATTCAGTGGCATGAATAAAAGCTATAAGTAGCTTCTTATCAGTTGAGGTCAGGCTTTTTTGCCAAATGAGTTTGCTATAAGCCAATGAACTTGTGGTTTTTAGAGCTTTATGGATTTATCTACATTTTATTCAGCAAAATGATGTATGATATATAAGTGGAAAATAGCATGTTAAAAATATGAATATAAACTCCAGTTTTATAAATATATGTAGAGAGATATTTTTCTCCCTCCTTGCACAGAAAAATACTTAGAATGATTATTGCCAAATATTAACATTGGTTCTCTTTGGTGGTTATTTTGGGTTTAATATTTATATTTTCCTAAGATTTTGAATTTAAAAAAAAATCTATTGGTTTTATGAAGAGTAAAGGTAAAACTTTCTATTTTGAAAACAATAATCTAAAAACAAAACAAAACAATGATATTTCAGTTTTTACAAATTTTCTTTTTAGTGATAAAATGTTTCCAGCTTTTGGTTTTGGAGCTCAGATACCTCCTCAGTGGCAGGTAAGAGGAAATCTCATTTTAAATATGCCTCCCACAAAAGTGAAACAGGCCTTCATCACTCCTTTCATCTTTTGACAGGTTTCACACGAATTTCCAATGAATTTTAATCCATCCAATCCCTACTGTAATGGTAAGCTAAAAAATAAACAGAAAGATTTTATACTGAACACCTTAATAGTGTTGTTACTTGTTTTTTTTTTTTTTCCTCGTGGTTTACTCAGATTCCCTCCCTAGTTTTCTTTTCGTGACATATTTAACTTTCTGTTGTATAAAGTAGAAGAATTATACGAGGTTGGTGGTTTGAGTGGTAAAGATACTAATGGTGCAAATCTATCATGATGATTGTGGGCTAAGTTCTACTTTAAGAGATTTAATAGAACAAGAATATTCTCAATCTTGAAAAAGATCAATAAAAATAATCATTATTTTCACATCTTATTTTAATTCAAACCTTCAATAAAATGAGTAATCCAGTATCAGATGTATAAAGATTTTCTCAGAGTAACAGTCACTCTCTACAAGGGAAAAAATGTCCAGCATCAAATTACTTGTTACTCAGATGACATCTGAGTGGGCTAAAGGAAAAAAGAATTAAACTCCTACAGTGGCTTTCCTCTGTACAGATAGCAGGAGGCTGGCATTTGTTTCATTTCTTTTTTTTTTTTATTATATACCTTAAATACGCAAGACCGCTTTCCTTTTTACTCCATTGAGCAATCAATCTAAAATGCCAGATGTCCCACAAAATGATAGAAAACTGAACAGTTTGAAGGAGGACAGGGAAGTAGGGGCAGAGGCATAAAATTGTAGACAATAAGCTAATTTTCTACAAAGGGTCCTGTTGACAATTACAGAATGTTTAGATTTCTAACAAAAGAAGGTGCTCTTTTCTTATCTTTAAAATTCATGAACAACATTCATAAGACAGAAGAGCATGAACACTTTGTTGGGAGTAGTTTATATTAGAGTTTTCTTGTTTTTCCAGGACACTTTTGCCATACTAATTCAGTATTCCTTTTATGTAACCTCAGTGGCCCGTTGTCACCTTTTTATCCCTATCCATTTGAAATTGGGAATAGCATTTCTTTTCAAGAACTGTGTTTCGTGCTTATGATGAAATTGGAATAATTTTTGAAGTTTGGTGTAATTACATTTCATTTCTTGTCAATAAATATGAATAACTTATATTGTATGATAATTCATTTTAGAAGTTCATTTACTCTGAATAAAATGAGCCCATCTTCGGGCTGCCATTAAGTGCAGCTTTTCAACTTTTGGTTTATAGTCTGAAGAAAAGAATCCGTTTGGTTTTAGACGGGACATACTGTACTGAAAAAAATACAACCTTATTTTAAGGCAAGGAAGCTGAATTCCCCCTTTTTAATTAAGCATTGAGTTTAGTTGCCCGGAAGTAACATGTCTCACTTGTTCCTTTAATGCAAAGGAAGGATTTTGGCATAACTTAATTTTAGTGGAGGGACTGAAGACAAGTGATGTTTATCAAGAAATTTAATTAATAGTTTATATATCTTCATATTGAAAAGAAAGCTGAGATGATAAAAATGAAAGGATATTATTGCTCTGGGGACTCAAATTTTCTACAGTATGTATCATTGCAGTAAGATCCTGCTGCTGGCTGATGTTAACATTATTTTTGTTCCTACTGGACTGACCAAAAGACTTATTCCTAAGTTCAAAATGAGTGAGAGGAGTTAGTTAGAACTCTTAAATGTTAAGAGAGTTGGTCTTGTGAAACTTTTAAATCAAGTATATACTTCTTTTCCTTGTTGATCTCTGTTCTGTTGGATATGTTTTAAGTAAGAGACTTGTTTTAGTTTACATTAAAAAACCTTTCTTTTTAAGATTTTATTTACTTATTCATTAGAGATACAAAGAGAGGCAGAGACATAGGCAGAGGGAGAAGCAGGCTCCCTGTGGGGAGCCCGATGTGGGACTCGATCCCAGGACCCCGGGATCACCTGAGCCAAAGGCAGATGCTCAGCCACTGGGCCACCCAGGTGCCCCCATTAAAAATCTTTTGAGGCAGATGGCCTTGACTATCTCAACAAGTGTTATGGAAGAAGTTTTTGAGGATTTCTAGTGTCTTACCTGCAACCTGGACATTCTAATGTAAGGGGTAGATTCAACAGGTGCATATGTCACATTAAAGCTTCACCAGCAGTGCTTTTACCAGGAATGCCATTCAACTTCCACTAAGTTGTGCTGATATAATAAACAGTCTAAGTCTCAGTGATTTATAACAGCAATAGTTTATTTCTTGCTCATCTATATATCCCTTCACATGTGGCTAGTCTGGTCTATGCTTCTCATTCTGGGATCCAGGACCTTATCTGGGATGTGCTTCTCCCTTTGCAGAGGGAAAGAGCAAGATTGCTGGTGAAAACAGGCAAGTGGTTCTTAACTTAGACATGAGTGTCATGTCCATTGTCATGTCCGTTTACAAGCTTGGTCAAAGCTAGTCGAACGGCCCTGCCCAATCTTGTACCATAAAAACATCCCCACGGGCCCAGGTTGTATGGCATAAACAAACAAGACATTAGTATTTCTGCAGCAAGATGTAATACATAGCCTGGAAGTGAATGTTTAGAACTATACAGTTTATCATACCATGCATACTAAGTTATGGAGTAAACTCTTGACTACAATTAACATTAGGTTTATAGCCATCTGATTTTGTAGGATTTTTGGCCACATATGCAAAAGTTTTTCCATTTAGTCAGTAACTTTTTCTTACCTTTTATTGTCAGTTGTGTAATACGGCATCTTTTTCATGATTTTTTTTCCATTAGAATCTTATGCCTAAAACACAAAAATTAAGCACTATAACAGCTCTACTATAGATTAATGAATAATTTGGCTGAGATGAAAATAAATGTCTTTTTATTGGAAGAGGGATAGCATTTATAGGTTTTTGCAGTGGAGTATAGCTATGAAGTTTTGTAATACATGGTTTAAGAGGAACTCTTGAATATAGAATTTTTAACTATTTAGAGCAATATATATATATATATATACACACATAGAGCATATATGTCTATTACATACATACATACATACAAAGATGTAATTAGGCTGGGTGGTAAACAATGAACAATTAAATTGTGTTTGAGAATTTTTAATGCTGCTTTTTCTGTCTAGGAATCCAAGGCATTGTAGAGGCATATCGGGCCTGCCTTCCTCAGATAAAACTCTATGGACCCACTAATTTTTCTCCAATCATAAATCATGTGGCCAGGTTTGCTGCTGCAGCCACCCAACAACAAACAGCTTCTGTAAGTGCTCTGGTGCTGGGGTTGACAAGGAGAAAATGTGGATTGGTAGTTGCTTCTGGTGCCATATTTCCATTTATTTGGTCTACTGAGATACAAAGAACATGAAGTAATAATGAAGCTATCCTTGGTTTGGAAGTAACAACTGATGTTGTTAAATCAGTGATCATTAAAAGCAAGACAACAAAAATTACCCTTACACTCATGAGTCTTTTTTCAGCCATTTGAATTATTTTTTTAAAAAATATTTTATTTATTTACTTGAGAAAGAGAGAGAGAGTGAGAGAGAGTGCGAGAGAGCACAAGCAGAAAGGAGAAGCAGGCTCCTCACTGAGCATGGAGCCCAATGTGGAGCTCAATTCCAGGACACCGGAGCATGACCTGAGCCGAAGGCAGACCCTTAACCGACTGAGCCACTCAGGCACTCCTGAATTAATTTTCTTTCTATTAAAGAAATTAAAGAAATTAAAGAAAACCTAAATTAATTAAAGAAAACCTATTGTTTTACTAAAAAGAAAGGACTAACATCTTCCTTTTTGAAAGTAGACTTAACAAATTAAGGTTGAGGATTTTTATAGTTTCAGTTGCTGATGAAAAATTACTTACTGTACTACAAAGATTTGGATTAGATAACCATTACCTGTTGGACCCAGATACCAAAATCTCTCTTAGCCTCATAGCTTTTTATACCCAAAAGTAACTTCATATGATTGCTGAAAGGTAAAATAAGAGTTCATATAAGTGCACAGTGCCTGGGGCAGAGTAAACAGCACGTTAGCTCTGTTATCAAACTTATTTCCATTCTAGATTCAAATGACCCAAAAGATGGAGTCACTTATGTAACATTTTACTGTTCTCCAAAACTGTTTATCAGAAATGACAGAATTGAGAGAAAGATTTCCCTGCCTTAACCCATCTCCATTTTTTAAGAAGTGAACTTTAGTTTGATAAACAATTTTACTTCTCCCATATTTGACTTTTTAGAAAGCATTGCAACTAACTTCCTTGATCAATACTTTAACATAGTTAATACTTATGTTGAAATGTTTATTCCTATGCTCACTAAAAGTTTAGTCTTTGACATTTAGGTGTCTTGCCTCTGTATATTTATGCCAATACCATTTTGTGGTCTATTGCACTTTTAATGAACCTGCAATTTTTGTTTTAATAAATTTCCTTGTCATTAGAGAATGTTAGAACATTTTATGTAGATGGTATCCTGGGTAGAGACTAGCAAGGAAAATGAGCAAGAAAGAGACTGAATGAGTCATCAAGCTGGAGGTGTTTTTAACAATTACTTTTATTGTTTGGGAGCTCAACCTGCTCAGTGGATATAATTTTCTTTCTTGGCAGCAATATTTTGTGCTCTTAATCATTACTGATGGTGTGATAACAGACCTTGATGAGACCAGACAAGCTATAGTTAACGCTGCCAAGCTTCCTATGTCAATCATCATTGTTGGAGTAGGAGGTGCTGACTTCAGTGCCATGGAGTTTCTGGATGGTGATGGTGGAAGTCTCCGCTCCCCGTCAGGGGAGGTAGCCATCCGAGACATCGTCCAGTTTGTGCCTTTCAGACAGTTCCAGAACGTGAGTACCATTCTCCTTATTTTTCATGCACACTAAGGAGTTTGAACACACCCTTACTAAATCCATAACCAAGTAGTTGAGTAGGTGTCTGGGGTTAGAGGATGTATGGAGTTTGGGTTTGAAGAGCCCTGATGAGGTTTTGAAGTTTTGCTTCAGGTTGTATACTTGCATGCCTCTTGCAGTCTGTATGATAAATTGCTATAAATGGTGTTGCTATGAATGTTTTAAAATACCTTTTATCTTTACCTATGTCTGTAACAACAGAAAAACTCTATATAGGTATATGATGAATTTGCCCAACTGGAAGTTGATTTGATGAAAATCTCTCAGGACTTTGTCTCACCCAGTTTGCTCCACTGGCAACATCTTGTAAAACTATAGCACAAAACCATTACCAGGATATAGACATTGATACAATCAAGGGTCATCATCTCAGGACTCCTCCTGTTGCGCTTTTATAGCCACACCCACTTCCCTTCCACTTCCCCCTTAAACCCCTGGCAACTGCTAATCTGTTCTTCATTTCTATAATTTTGTCATTTTAAGAATACTATAGAAATGTTAGGATTGGCTCCCCCCCCCACTCAGCATAATTTTCTGCAGGATTGTGGCCTGTGTTTCTTCCTATTCCTGGGGAATAATCCATGGTGTAGATGTTAACCATTCATCCATTGAAGGACATCTTTTAATTGTTTCCAGTTTTTGTCTGTCATATGCAAAGCTGCTATAAACACTCATGTACAGGTTTTTGTGTGAGGATAGATTTTTATTTCCCTAGGATAAATACCCAGAAGTGCAGTTGCTGGGACATAAGATTACTGCATGTTTAGTTATTAAAGAAACTATTGAACTTTTCCATTATGGTTATGCTTTTTTACATTCCCACCAGCCAATGTATGAACATGAGGGAAGGTGATTAAAAGTGTTAATGTTAGGAATCCTTGTGATGATGAAACAGTTCTGTATCTTGGTTGTGGTAATGGTTATACAGATCTACCCAGATGATAAAATTACATAAAATAATACATAGACACATGCAAGTGAGTGCATGTAAAGTAAAACTGGTAAAATCTGAATAAGGTCTGTGAACTGTCCCATTGTCAGTTTTTTGGTTTTGATATTATACTATAGTTATATATTACCTTTGGAAGAAACTGTGTGAATACTCTATTATTTTTGCAATTTCCTATGAATCTGTAATTATTTCAAAATAAAAAGTTAAAAAATTAATACCAAGTGAATGAAAGACCCACATTCAAAAGTTAAATAACAAAAAGAATATTAGAGAGGAAGACAAACCATGGGAAACTCCTAACTCTTGAAACAAAAGGTTGCAGAAGGGGAGGTAGGTGGGGGATAGGGTAACTAGATGACAAGCATTAAGGAGGGCACATGATGAGATGAGCACTGAATGTTATACTATATGTTGGTAAATTGAATTTAAATAAAAAATTTTAAAAATTCAAAAACTAGAAAAAAGTAATTATCAAATGCCCAAATGCTGGCACCAAAAAGGACTTGATAAATGTAAGTGGGAGTAATAAAACACTCATAAGGAATATTAGTTACTTAGCTTATTTTGTGTTTCATAGACTGTTCCTAAGACAAGATACAAGCCTAGGAATTGGGAATTACTGCTTTTTACTGACTGGTGAGGTATTCTTAGTCTGGTATCAAAATGCCAGTAAAAATTTGGTTACTAATAAAGTCATTTTGATTTTGTTTTTCATAAGGCTCCAAAAGAAGCACTTGCTCAGTGTGTCTTGGCAGAGATCCCCCAGCAGGTGGTGGGCTACTTCAACACATATAAACTCCTTCCTCCCAAGAACCCAGCTAAGAAATGAAAGGAGCTATGGCTGCCTGAGCAGAATTCTTTTGTATGGAGCAGTGGATTCCTCTTCCACCCTGAATCATGAATCTGTTATTTTACATGCTTTTCTTTTCATTCCCAGCATTTTTTATGTAAACCTAGTTCTCTATGGATTATATCTATTTAAAACATTTTTATTCCTTTTTTTTTTTTTTGAGGAAAGTGCTAAGTTAATCTTTGCTCAATCAATGCAGTGATTTTAGTGACTTGCAGTGACACTATGGAGATCAGAAACTCGTGTGAGAAAAGTTGATTTGGTAGTTGTGGTTATTTAATATGGTGAAAATACTGTTTTTGAATGTTTTTCAATAGACTGGAAAATTGCTGGGACGTGATTTATAGGTTGCTGTCCTTTGTTCTAGGCAATATATGTTTTACAAGCCAACATAATCATACTCGATGACAAGAACTTCTTAAATTAGATGATATTGAATTTGTTCCTATACCTGTATTCAGTGCCTTTCCATGGGATGAAACTGTTCCCTTTTGCCTGAATTTTGCTGCACTTTAGATATTGTAGTTTACAAAATAGTATGCATTCACTTAGGACTTCTTAAAAAATACTGAATGAGAAGGGAAGGCACATATCCAGTTCTTAAAATGTACAATCAACAAGTAAAAGGAACCTCATATAAGTAAGCCATTTTTATTTGCCTTTCTGGATCTTTTATTTTCATTTTGGAATACTGTAAACATGGTCAGATTTGACCTTTTCATTTACTGTATGTGACATTCAGGATTCTGTATCTGCATAGATGATGGGCTGTCCTAGATTCAACATTATTAGAGTATTTTAATTGGAGTTTGCTAAAATGGTTAGGACTGCTTTGTCCAGGAAAGCTATGAGGACCAAATATATAAAGGGAAATTCAGAATCTATTTCCTTTTAACTAATGAAATACTTATTTAAGAAAAACCTAATTTTTATATTTTCCTTACTTAGCTCTCACACATTGATTTGTACATTGGTACACATTCATTTAGACATTTTCTTCCTTTTTTTAAGTAACATTTTTAGTCTGATTTTTAAACTTATGATAGTGGTTATGTAGTAATCAAAATCAAATTTTGCGTTTTAATTATATATTATTTCCTAAGCCCAAAATGTATGTATTAAGCATAAAACCTGTCATAACTTAAAAAAATCTCTTCTAAAATTTTATCGAAGGACCTGTGTGCCAAGTACGACGCATATTCATATGTTGGCCAATCATCTCTAACAACGTTAAAAATTGTGTGTTTATCATATATAGCCTTAAGTGGATGCATCAGTGCCTTGCTGACATGCCTTTCAGTCTTACTGAAAACTTGTATCACAGCTCATATTGCTTGTTCTCTGAAATGTCTAAAGGAGATGAGCTCTCAGCCATGAAGAACTTTGGCTTCTTGGGAACTTGCCACGGTCAGGCTAAGAGAAGACCTGCTTGCTGTTCTAGCTTCGTTTGTGTGAGCAGTTTCCACTTTCCAACCTAGCTAGCTAGCCTCTGTATATGTACTATTAACTTGAAGGTACCTAACTAGGAGTCTGTTATTCGATGGCATATCTCAGTTGACAAGTCATTTTAACATTAGTTAAGTGAGAAGAAAACTGATCATTCTTTCAGTAGTTTGGACCTTTGTTGTCTCAGATGTCCTGATTTCAATTCTCTTTGTATGCTTGGAAACAGCATATATTTATATATATATAGGTATATATATATAGCTGTGGTTTTCAGGATTTTTTTTTAACACATTGAAGCCTTAAAAAAATGATATACACACATTCTCAATGTATGGTATAACAGATAGAAGTAGAGCTTCTCTAGGTCCAGAGCAGGGTCCAGAGCCCTACTCACTGGGCCTCCTCACTCTCCTTAACCAGCTCCTGACAGCACTGAGTCACCTGTATTGGGCACTTGGAAACCATTGGGCAGGAGCTTCATTGTTTTCATTAGCCAAGTAACAGTACTTCTGTTTCCATTGTCAAATTATTTTGGTCTTCATAATTTTGTATTCTGGTTTTAACCAGAAACATTCCAATTTTTAAATTAATTTTAAAAAATTCATTCTTGATCAGGGTCATCAGTAGATGCTATTATTCATAAGAATTGTGATTCCAGTAAATGAGGACAATTGATGCCTTTTTTGCAGTTTTGAATAAAAACATTTACAATTTCTAAGTTATTTTGTAAAATTCTTAAAATCTTACCATTTCACTTTATCACATAATGATTTAATATTGTTTTATGTAAAAAAAATAGTCTTTTTCCCTATTGTGCCACCATTCATTCAAGTGTCATTAGTTCTTAAAATGCATTAAAAAAACAAAACAAGTTGACTTTCACACCTTATATAATCAGCTGTATTACAAACACATATTGGGGTGACAGTGTCCTGGACAGACATAATATTTCTCACATATGCCTTTACTGAGAAAATAATAAACCAATTAGCTTGGCCATGTCACCTTGTGCTTTGAAATGAAATTTTTAAGATCATAAGTTTTCAAAGTCAGATCAGGGATTTACCACCACAGTTGTTTTTTTGAAAGTGCCTTAGGCAGCCTTTCCAGAGTAAATTCTGGGCCCCATTGTTGTTTATGCTTTATTTCATATATTTTGCCTTTTTCATTTTATAACTTTCCTGGGAAGCCATCTTCAATAAATTTTTCCTACTTTCATTTGTGTGCGGTTGGTAGTCATGGGAGTGACATATAAGGGAGGCCAGATGTTTGACTGAAATTGCAAGAGACTGTTTTGTGCTTTAATAATGTCATACTTGATAATAAGTGTATAAGTTACTAATATATGAATTCATGTTAAATATATCTCCCATTTGAATTCCTGGCAGATAAAGTTATTTCTTAATGTGAAATGATAGTGCCTTGTTTTTATTTATCCTTTCTCTAAATGTTATCAAAACCAGTAGAAAAAAAATAGAAATAAAGTGAATATAGTATTTTAGGGTGCCTGGGTTCATATTTTACTGAATTGAACAGTTTGGGTTTTTAAAATTATTTTGTGGGATTTACTCATTTAAAACATACTGAATGCATTCAAGAAATATTTCTAGGTGCAGTAAGGGAAAGGTTCTCAGTTTATAGCTGGATGGCCTGAAAAATAAGGCACTCACACTTAATTAGTTGTGTTAAGCAGGACAGTAGTATACCCACCTTATTTGTGTGTTTGTTCTTAAAATTGCTTCTGTTATGTTGCAGTCATTGGTCAAGGCCTTGGGAACACCGTGGTAACCTAGATGCCCAAAGCTGATGTCTTCATAGACATAATGGACTGGGGGGAGAGGGTGGAGAGAAAACATTAAATGAGTAATTAGAGAGACATAACCCATGTAGCTGGCAAAAAGCACTTGCCTGAAGATGTGCCATTTAAGCTAAGACCTTAAAGTTAGCTGGGTGAAGAGAGTTAAAAGCATTTATGAAAGTGTTAGGTCAACAGCAAGTATAGACTTGAATATTTTAGGAATGGAAAGAACTTAAAGTATGCTGGAATATAAATTGTGTAGGGAAAGTGGTAGAAGAGTGGAGAGACGAAGTGGAGTGATTGGTTGAGTTTATATCCTGCAGGACCTCTGGGGCATACAAAGGAGTTCAGGCTGAGGCTAAAGGTAATGGAATGCCACTGAATCAATGTAAGCAAAAGAATGATGTGATCAGATTTATGTTCTTGAAAAACTGGAGGGCCTTGTATTTTAGATCAGACAAGTGGATGTCTGTTGTCAAACTTGGGCCTGGCCACAGTGGCTTTGCCTTGGTGAGGCCCTGATGAGGGAGTCAGTGGTGGTCACCTTATGGTAGAGACTCACCTGTTTGGTCACATATTGCTAAAAATCTGATTCTGGGTCAGTTTCTGAATCCTGTGCTTTTCCTGCCACGACCCTGACTCCACATCAAATCATCTGTGAAGCCCGTTTCTTATCAATCAGGTTTAGAGTCTGGCTTGCACCTTGTGGTGATGTTGATCCCCAGGATTGCTAAAACCTTGCTTGAAGCAAGACCATGACTGGTGTCATTTGTCACAAAGCATGGCCATGTGAGTGTTGGCCACATACCCCAGAAAACTCACAGCAGGTTGTAGTATCCCTGGAGAATTTTACTCTGGCTTGGCTATTATCTCCTCTCAAAGAAGTGATCAATGAGACAAATATCATCATAAGCAGAATTTTTACTTCTTACAGCAGAGAAAGGGAGGCCATGATATCTTTGGCCTTTTCGTTTCTTTTTTTTTTTTTAAGATTTTATTTATTTATTCATGAGAAGCACAGAATAGAGAGGCAGAGGGAGAAGCAGGCTCCCTGCGGGGGAGGACCCTGGGATGGGAAGGTGAGCCAAAAGCAAGCATTCAGCCACTGAGCCACCCAGGTGCCCCTATAAAGAACTCCTTGTATACAAATGTAAATTTAAAACTCAACATTGGGACCCCCGGGTGGCTCAGTGGTTTAGCATATGTCTTTGGCCTTTTTGCAAGCAGACACAGCACACCAGATTTTGCAACAGTACTTGGACTTCTAAGACTGGACTTGGAAGAATATCAGGAATTGGGGAGCTCTAGAGAGTTCTTAGAAAACTGAGTAGGAAATAATTTGTCTTTTTCAACCACTCCTTCCATCCAGTAAGAGGTACTCACTTGTTTTTGAACATATTTTATTGAGTAGCTTAGTTATGGCAATCGACAGGCAACATCAAATTGAGTAAAATTTCTTAACTTCAAAGAGTTTATGATCTAATATGGGAAAGGAGAGTATATAATGCTAAAATAATAATAAAAAAAAAGAATAAGCAAGGTAAGGCGGCCCTTTGTCCTTAAAGTAAGACTGTCCCTTATGCCTCAGACACCTGTAGCCAAGAGTACAGAGGGGGATCCTGAACATCTCTGGCAAGATGCTCCTCCTTCTCCTCCTTCCACAGCACTCCTTTCTCCCCACTGCTGTCCTAGGACCACCAGGACCTGCCAGTCCTTATAAGAAGCTTAGATCATGAACTTCCTCACTCTAACCCATCTCTGGCTCCTCTGTACAATCCATATCCTAACCACACCCCACTTCTCTGCAACTGCCCAAACCCTGCCACTCTGCCCTTAGGAACCGGGTCATTCATTAGCATAGTGTTATATCAGTGCATTTTTATTCTAATTAAAACCTAGCTCTTTCTAAGGACCTTCCTTCCTTTGCAGTCCTCTCAAGTAGTTATTTTCTCTTACTGGTCTACCATGGGGCTTGGAGGCAGGGTTAAGTATCCTCCTTGGTCTTCCCTTCTGCCTTAGATAACCTTTCCCTCCTCCTAAAAACCTCTAGCTTTAAAAAACAACAACAACAACAAAAAACCTCCAGCTTTGAATCTCTTATCATTAGATTAGATCACTTTCCCTCTGTAATAATCTTATTCTTCACTTTACCTCAGCCCTCACTCTTAAAGGCATACCCTAGACCTTATAACCCATAACAAACCCTTTCCTAATCTCAAGTATCCTGTTTTCTAATAACAACCCACGTTACAGCTCACTTCCTATATAGTACCACCACTTCAACAAATCATTCTCCATCATTTACCTTCAAGTTACTAATCCTATGAATTTTCAAAAGCTCCTGCTCCTTTTCTAGACTTCTTTTCTACTGCTGTCTGCCTTGGCCACTCTGTTCCAACCATACAGGTTTTCTTGCTCTTACATGAATATGCCTGGCATACCCCTGGCTCAGGTCTTCTGCACTTGCTCTTGCCCCTTCCTGAAGAACTCTCCCTAGTCACTTGTAAGCTTTGCTCCCTCACCTTCTTCAGGTCTTCATTCAAGCATCACCCAAGTCAGATGTTTGCTGATCACTTTGTTTAAAATTGTACGTCTTTCCCCAATACCAGCTATTCCTCTTTCCTGCTTAAGTTTTAGGTACCGTGTTTCTTGTCGTCTTTGCCCACTATCATGTCAGTTCCAGGAAGTTGGGGTTTTTGTTTTTTGTTCATTGCTGCATCCTGAGCCTGGAGGAAAACTTGGCATCTCGTAGGTGCTCCCTAATTGACATAGAAAAAACCCCGAATGAATAAGGTATGTGTTAGAGCATACGTAATGATAGAAATTAGTTCATATGAGAAAATGTTTTTTTTTTAATAAATTAATTTTTTATTGGTGTTCAATTTACCAACATACAGAATAACACCCAGTGCTCATCCCATCAATTGTCCCCCTCAGTGCCCGTCACCCACTCACCCCCACCCCCCTGCCCTGAGAAAATGTTGAAGTTTAGAGTGGGGAGGTTTTTTTTTTCTTTTTCTTTTTTTTTAAAGATTTGATATATTTATTAGAGCACAACCAAGGGGAGTTGGAAAAAGAGAAGCAGGCTCCCCTCTGAGTCGGGAGTCCAATGCTGGGCTCCATCTCAAGACCCTGATAACATGACCTGAGCTGAAGTCAAGAAGTCAGACACCCAAACGACTGAGCCATCCAGGAGCCCTGAGTGGGGAGATTTTCATCTCATTGTGGGAGGCAGTCAGAACACTGGGGAGATATTGGAAAGCTTAATAGGTGGTTTAGAATTTCATTGAGATTTGAAGGTTACTTAGGGTTTTCTAATGTAGAGAAAGCAGCAGAAAGAAAAAAAAAGAAACTGCAGATCAAGAAATTGACATTGTCTATGGCTTGAAGTCAGAAAGCAGTGTGGACTGCGGACATTGTTGGCACAGGGAGAGGACTATGCGTTTGTAGTAACACTTGTATTTCACAACCAACTCTCTACACTTACAAATGGATGTCAAAATTCCAACTCTGTTAATTTCTCACATTCCTTTGTTAGTGAAATCTGTGGTTAGTCCCTTTCTGAAGTGTCAGCTAAGTTTGAGCTTTCTTCTCAAATTTGGAATATAAATATGTCCCTTAACTGGCAGATTTTACTGTCATTTTGCCCCATGAAATTTTGAGAAATATATTTATTTGTAAAACTCCTTCTTCAGGTGGATGCTACTTTTATCAAATTAGTCCATGATCTTCATGTTTGAAAAACAATGTGGTGTCTTTGTCCTTGGGTTCTGTCACACTGTGGTGTGATCCTGGGCACAGGATTTTGTTTTGTGTTTTGTATTAATGGGGCTTGGAGTAGTAATCTCTAAATTCCCTTTCAAGTCTAATAAGATTCTAGCATAAACAACAGAGCTTGATTTATTTAAAGCTGGATGCAAGAAACTGCATCACAAGCCTGGTTAATAACCCTTAGCATGCACTGTGCATTAAATTTCATATTGCTTAGAGTTTCCAGCAGATCGAGTCCTCGTAAATTTGTATCAGTCATTGTGTGCAGTAGGCAGAGATGACTAGGGCTACAAAGGGACAGTAAGAGGGGCTGTGACCTTTCAGGTAGGGTTCCCTTTCCTCATCTGAGCAGTTATTGTCTAGAAATGTCAGGTTGTATTGCTTAACGATGCACATTTATTTGACCTTTGCACTGTCATTTTTAGTCACAAAAGTTATAGTAGGAAAAATATAGCCAGTCATAAAAACTCATGGAGGAAAACATCAAATTTTACTACAGTGTATGGGTAAGGTACTTAAAGCATGAATTTCAGGTATCTTTACTTTGATTAGATATAATAAATTCCAGAACAGGATAATGATTAATATCTTCCAAAGATTTTAAAAAATTCCTCTTTGGACAGGAAAATAATTATTATAAATATGGAACAGCCCAAATTACAGAAAGTACAGACTCTTCTCTTGTTGGTATTCTATGTAGCAGTTTATCATCTAATGCATAACTGAAATGAAACAGTTTGTTATATATATTTTTTAGGGTTCTTTATTAGTGTTTCACAAAAGATGGTTCCTAGAATATGGAGGGGGTGCCAAATTATTCTTTTTATGTGGGTATATGTAGAA